GGGTCCCCACACAGGAATCTGGGCTGCACTTTGAGACCAGACTTGGAGAAGTAATGTGTTGCAATATTTAGGCATGTAGCACTAATCCCTGAATCAGAAAGCAAAGGTGGTTAATATTAGTTCAAGTACAAGCAGGAAACCCATCCAGGAAGCTACTGTTGTTTCTTAAATTTTTTTATTTTTTTATTATAATGAAGCTTCTCATTCAGCAGAGTAAGCAGTGAATAATTTAGTGCATAAATTCTTGTGAAACCCAAACTGCTGTTATTGGCAGACATGGAAGGCCAATAGAAAATATCCTTGGGCATCTCTAATAAAGGAAACAATGTTTTCGTTTGTTGAGAGGATTCAGGGTTTATTTATGTGCTGACACCCTGAGTGGAAGAGAGGAGCATACAACAGAAGGGGCTTGACAGGGGCAGCTGGCCCACTAGGAAGAGAAATCTGTTACTTAAACAGACTGCAGCTTATTAGCTATTTATTTTACTATTTTTCCTTACAATGCCATCGGAGTAGCTCTCTTCAGTAGGTATTTTTCATGTCATCCATTTGGTATGTAGTGGGGTTTCTGGGTGTGGCTAATATACAGCTGATTAACTAAAGAGTTGCCATGGTAAAGAACCTCCTGTTGTGTAGGACCTGGTGACTGAGTGCTTGGAGGAAAGAAATCTGTAGCTTGGATATAAAAATTATCAACTGAAAAGGTTTGTGCAATTGACTCAACAGAATTATATAAAGCTAATCCCTCAAGAAAGTGATGCTTTTCTTGCTGTTCTCCAGTCTTTTCTCTTTCTAAAAACTGTTTTTCCTATTTTTAATTGATTTTTACTGCTGCACCCAGGAGTTGCACCAAGACTGAAGGTTATTGCCCCGAGAAGGGGCAAAACAAATCCTAGAAAGTCCAAATGAGACGGGCTACTTGGATGAACAGTTGTATTGAAACTTCAGGCTAATATTTCTCCTTCAAGAGAGATGGGAGATTGAGATGGGAGCTGGCTTTGACTAATCTTTCAGATAATGGGCAATGGAGCTGGTGAAGGGTCTAGAGAACAAGCAATATGAGGAGCAGCTGAAGGAGCTGGGGTTGTTTAGATTGGAGAAAAGGAGGCTCAGGGAAGACCTTATCACTCTCTACAACTACTTACAGCTGAAGGAGGATGTAGCCAGGTGGGGTTCAGCCTTTTCTCCCAGGTAATCAGCGATAGGACAAGAGGACATAGTCATAAACTGAACCAGGAGATGTTCAGGTTGGACATGAGGAAGATTTTTTTTAACTGGAAGGGTGATTAAATACCAAAACTGGCTTCCCAGGAAGGTAATGGAGCCAGCATCTCTGGAGGTGTTGAAGAAATAATGGGGGATGACGCTTTGTGCCATGATTTAGTTGACAGGGTGATGTTCATTGATCTTGGAGGTCTTTTCCATCATCTATGATTCTATGATTCTATAAATTCAGTTCCAGAAAAGTATTTCAATTTGTATTTTACATCCAGAATATTTCAATGGAAAGGATAAAATTTTGTGATTTACTGTTTAAGACTTGTCCCATGGTGTTTACAATATTAGCTGTTATCATGACACTCATTCTGCCCTTCTTTCCTCTTCATGAGTTCTGGAACGGAATGTAACATTTTAGAAACTGACCTTAGGTCCACCTTTTTAGACATATTATATATGACTATTATTATAATGTCTTAGAGTCTCATAACATTTAATAAATTCAAGCTCATAACTTCCCACTGATTTAGAGTGGTAATTATTCACAGTGTTATACTGTTTCCTATATTGAGACATCCCAAATTCTTTAAAGACCTTCCAATTAAAATTTGCTTGAGAGAATTGATAAACAAAAAGCTCCTTCTTTCTGAATATTAATGATAAAAAGGAATATTGTTCTGGAGAGATGCAAATATAAGTGAAAGCTCTGTATGCTGAGAGGTAAAATGTCCAGCTGTCACATTGAAATCCATATGTTTATGTGTGTGGTTACTCCTTTTCATTCACTAGATAGTTTCATTAGCTAGTGAAAAAACTTATTATAAATAGGAAGTCTGGAAACACCAACTTTCAGTCAGATTTTTGAACTGGAAGGGTTATATGTATTTGAGGTCAAAGAATGAAAAAAATTTATGAAGCCTGTGAGTTTTAAGAATGAGCATCAAGACGTGGCTAGACAGAGGTGTATCACAAAACCACAGTGATATCATATGAAGAGAAGTGTGAACCAGAGAAATTCTGAATTAATATTAAAATATAACTGAATAAATGGGAGTAATTCAACAGGAACTTCAACTGCTGGTATGGGTGGAGGCTGAAATTTTTTTCTTTATTGCCATAAGAGCAATGAAAAAAGTAAGTGTGATAGGATGAGAGACAGATTAAGGAGAATTAGAAATCCTAAGGGGTGTATACTGTTTATTCTTACTATTCATATGCTATAAAAAGTTTCAGCTTTTCTTTTGAAAAGGGAATATAGTGGAAGAATGTATTTCTGTTTCTA